TAATTATATAAGTAATCTAAACTTTCCTAAAACTATTTCACAGTATCATTTTTAAATGCAATTATACCACTATTAATTTCGAAGTTTTTTTTAATGTTTATTTATTTATTTTGAGAGAGAAAGCAGGGGAGGGGCAGAGAGAGAGGGAGAGAGAATCCCAAGGAAGCTCTGTGCTGACAGCCCCATTCAGGGCTCGATCCCATGAACAGTGAGATCATGACCTGGGCCGAAACCAAGAGTCGGATGCTTAAACAACTGAGCCACCCAGGTGCCCCTCCTAGTTTTAATAATTGTACCACTGCTATGCAAGACATTAACCTTAAGAAAACTGGTAAAAAGGATACATGAATTCTGTATTATTTTTGCAACTTTTCTGTAAGTCTGAAAAGTATTTCAAAATAAAACATTTAAAGAAATGCAAACTATGCTAATATATAAAAGTACAAAATTGATAAATGGCTCACACAGGTAACAATCATGGTATAACCAAAGTTCACTACATTATCATAGCAGAACTTCAAAACTTCACATACTAAACATTTTAAGAATAATTTAAAGTATGTTATTAAAATTGCTTTTATCAACTAACAAATGTACATATTAGAACACTAAAATGTATCTGCCATATATAATAAAAAGTAGAGCATTACCTTTAAAGGTTTTAAGGGAAACATCAAACAATCAATTATGCTCTGGGGTTATCACCACTTTAAAACATAACTGCACCTAGCCACACCCAAGGTCAGACACCTTATTATATAGTGTTGTTTTATCTCCATTTTAAAGATAAAGAAATGGGGCACCTAGGTGGTTCAGTTAGTTAAGCATCAAACTCTTGATATTGGCTCAGGTCATGATCTCATGGTTTGTGAGACTGAGCTCTGAGTTGGGGTCTACGCTGACAGCTTGGAGCTGCTTAGGATTCTCTATCTCTGCCCCTCCCCCTGCTCACATGCTCTCTCTCCCTCTCTCTCTCAAAATAAACTTTAAAGAGAAAAAAAACAAAGACATTTCAATCCACAAGGCAGATTAAGTGAGTTGCCCATGGTCACATGGCTAATAAAAGGTAAAGTCCAGTTGGGGCTATAGCCCCAACATGGAAATTCTTTTGTTCATACAAAGATCAAATCTGTGATGTTGCCCTTGTACATATGACATTACTAACTAAAGTAACTGGTCACAAGGACAGTCTCTATCATGCTTTTTAATTTATCATTTCCCTTTTTAGTTTTAGGCTTTTGTAAGACTTTATGTAGGATATGAAGAGGCAGCTAAAAGGTTGAAAATAATAGAGATTTACCAAGAGGTGGGAAGAATAAGAGAAAATTTGATTCTAGTAAACACCATCCAGAGGACATAGAAGCAAATTTTAAAGTTGAGCAAACCTTGATTTGAAACCCCACTCTTTCAGTTACTAATTATACAATCTTGAATAACTAAACCTGATATCCTTTGGAGAATCTAACAACATAATGCTTAACTCATAGATCTTAAATATATATAATCAGAAAAATGTTATTTAGGAAACAAAGCAAATAACCTTAATCTGATATAAATTCTGCACTGGAAAAAAAGTAAACTAGTCAAGTGACTACCCAGCTACAAACATATTTATATCATGTATGTATCACTCCTTACCTTGTGCAAATGCCGTACGTGATTTTCCAAAAAAATCTTAGTTTCTGTATAAAGTCTTTCTCCAAGGGGTTCAGGATAGGCCACACATAAAGCATAGATATCTCTAGTTAAGTTGTTAAGGTTTGCATATTCATTAGAGATATTATTTTAAAACAAAAGATTTAACTCATTAAAGTTTGCCATTAAAAAGTGAAATATTTCAAGCAATTTAGGATTCTACAGATATAGAAAGAGTAAAATACATAGCCATGCTTACTTTAAAAAGCACTGAGTTATTCATTTACTCATTCAACAAATATTTCTTGAGAATTATTAGACAGCATTGTAAGGAAAATGGTTCTTCTCTAAGAGGTTAAAATTCAGAGTGGGTTCTGGGAAATCAAGTTACCCAGAAACCTACAAAATAAAGTTTATGTAAGAATGGACATAAGCATAATATCAACAAAAGGCTATAGAATATCATAAGAAGTAGATATGTATAAGCAATTCTGAGAAACAAAAGTTACAAAAATTACTAATGTGACACATTTTCCTACATCATAGTACTCATCAAAATACACTGCAACCGATACACTATCCTTCAGCATTTATTCCATTAGAAGAATTGTAATATGAATAGTAATATCAATTAATCAATTAAGTTTTTGAATACCAACTAAGTACCCTGCTAGGTATCACAAATGGTAGATATATACTGTAGCAGAGTTTTTAATCTGAGACAGAGGAAATGGGATCTGAATGAGACTTTAGCTCTACTAGCCAGTGATCTTGACCAAGTCTCTTAACCTTTCTGCTGTCATTTCCTCATCTCTAAGGTAAGGGTAACAAACCGTCTCTTGATATCTCTTACAGAATCTTTGTAAAAACCAAATAAACTCATCAATGTTAACATGCTTCATAAACTGCATTACTGACCAGACGTTTAAGATAAAGAACACATGAAGCAATCTGGGAACAGCCTAACTGGAGATCCAGATAAAAACTGAAAATAAGGTTAATTATTTGGGATGGAGTCAATTATTTAATATGCTTTTCTTATATTATAAGTACAATTAATATACTTAAAATAAGGATCAGGAAATATGGCAAAATAAAAATTTGTACTTAAAAATATAGAGGTAGAGGGGCACCTGGCTGTGACTCTTGATCTCAGGGTTGTGAGTTCAAGCCCCACATTGTGTGGGGCTTAAAAAAAATTTCCATTATTAAAAAATACAGAGGTAGGATGCAGGTTCTTCCTCTTCTATAGCCCCATAACATTTTACATATTCTTCTTCTACAGAATTCATTTTTATATAATAGAAATTATTTATACCTTTTCCATCCACACTAGCCTGTTCTTAATTATCTCTGTATTCCCAGCCTCAAGGCACAATTCCTGGCACATTATAGGCATTTATTAAACACTTGGTGATGGAAGGAAGATAGGGAATAAGTATCACATGCTCTGCCTATTTACCTAGTAGCCTTACTCCAGAAAGAATAAGCAGCCCTCTCCACATGAGGTCACTGACAGGTAGACTTTGGTCAGACTTTCCCAGGTTCCTTCTAAATCCTTTTATTTTTAATTACAATTAGTAATTGATAAAATATTTTCATGTATATATGTACATATTTCTTCGGTATACTATTATACTAAACATAAACAAAAAACGTTTACAGCAAAAAAGAGAAGCAAAAATATCCATATAGTGCAATACTGCTGTGCCAGATTTTTTTGTAGAAAAAAGTACAGTATGAAACAAACTATTACAATTTTATTTTTTATTTTTGTTTTAATGTTTATTTATTTTTGAGAGAGAAGGGACAGAGTGTGAGCAGGCGGCACAGAGCCCCACGTGGGGCTTGAACTCATGAACCATGAGATCATGACCTGAGCTAAAGTCAACACTTAACCAACTCAGCCACCCAGGCACCCCTTACGATTATTTTAAATCAACTTAGATACAATGAAAATTTAAAAAATAGAAGATTAAATATAATAGCATAAAAGAACTACTTACCAACAGCAACATAAATATATTAACCTATATTACAAAAAAAGTAGAAATTTTAACATGCATCGCCTAAGAAAGAATTTAGAAATTTATTTCTATAGAAATTTATTTCTATATATAGAAATTTATATCTAAATTTGTAAAAATTTAGAAATTTTATAGAAAACTGATAATAGTGTGGGGAGAGAAGAAGAAGAAAGGTATAAATACAGAAGAAAGCTGCCCTAAAATAATGTATTAGATAAGCTCCTGGATCCAGCTTGGAGCCCTCTAGGTTTGTTATAAATTCCGTGGGGAAAAAAAGAAGTCCTAGTTCACTACATAATTTAAATCTCTAATAGTTTTGTGGTTTTTTACCATAGAGATTTATATTCAATCTCAATTAGTTATCTCAATCTTACCCTAGTAAAATCAGATATAAAAGTGTTGTCAGAATTAAACGTATTAGAAGTGAGGAGAGGGGCGCCTGGGCGGCTCAGTCAGTTAAGTGTCCGACTTCAGCTCAGGTCATGATCTCATGGTTTGTGGGTTTGAGCCCCACATGGGGCTCTGTGCTGACAGCTTGGAGCTTGGAGCCTGGAGCCTGGAGCCTGGAGCCTGGAGCCTGGAGCCCGGAGCCTGGAGCCTGGAGCCTGCTTTGGGTTCTATGCCTCCCTCTCTCTGCCCCTCCCCCACTTGTGCTCTGTCTCTCTCTAGGTCTCTCAAAAATAAATAAATGTAAAAAAAAAAATTAAAAAAAAAAAAAGAAGTGAGGAGAGTGGTTACCTCTAGTGACTGAGGGGGTAAGAAAGTGGGATGCTAGGAGTGTTCTATTTATTGGGTCCATGGGTATGTTTATGTTATGAAAATTCACCTGTACATTAATGAGTCAGTGTATACTACACTTAAATTTAAATTTAATTTTTTAAAAAAGACTAAATTTAGCCAGGATCCAGATCAACAATTCTTTTAGCAGAGATATGGTGTATTTAAGATCTTTTAAGTTCTGAATACCTACTTCAAGAAATTTCATCCATATTTGCTCTCTTCTTCCTGAAGCCATATATACACTTAATTCTAGAATACACAACTTACTTGATACTGAAAAATTAACATGATTCAATACCTTAATTTCAGCATGATATGCTAATTATGTGCCCAAATGGTTTCTATCACCAAAATTAGTATCTCAATTTATCCACCACATGTACATGTAAACAAAATTGATTAAAAGGACTTTCCACTTAGGGTAAAAGGATCTGTGCAGGGCAGGAAATACATGGAAACTATTTCAACCCATATACAGGACTTATATACTGTTTGACATCTTCAGTGAGAATGTACTTTTGCATTTTTCTTTTTTTTTTTTTTTTTTTTTTTTTTTTTTATGGTATCTCTGTGCTTTTTGGGTTTGTACTTTTTTTTAATTTTTAAATGTTTATTTATTTTTAAGAGGGAAAGACAGAGCTTGAGTGATGGAGGGACAGAGAGAGGGAGACACAGAATCTGAAGCAGGCTCCAGCCTCCAAGCTGTCACCACAGAGCCCAATGTGGGGCTCAAACCCACAAACCACGAGATCATGACCTGAACTGAAGTTGGATGCTTAACTGAGCCACCCAGGTAATCCCTACTCTTGTATTTCTTTTTAATGGCATCCACCTTGATAAATCTTTTAATTGGTTATCTCATCATAGTTTGGGGTCTCAGTTAACCACTGTATCATGTCATTTAACTGTCTAAAATATATTCCTAAATGTTATTTTTCTCTAACCTACTGAAATATCTAACCACCCTGAAAATGTTTAGGCCTTAGGAAGAGCACCCAACTCTCTACCATTCAATTGTGATTTCGTTATAGACAAGGCACTTTTAAAAGACAAAAAAATGGGAAATAACTGGAGGTCAGATTTAAACATTGTCATTTCCAAAGTTCTTTTCCTCAAGTTACTCTTTAGTAATCCAGGATATAAAAATCCCTCTATTATGAACTTTCCAGTTATAAATTCACACAGTCAAAAAACAAAACTGTAGGGGTGCCTGGGTGACTCGGTCAGTTAAGTATCTGACTCCTTTTTTTTTTTTTTTTAATCTTTGAGAGAGAGAGAAAGATAGAGAGAGAGAGAGAGAGAGAACAAGAGTGGGGAAGGGCAGAGATAGACAGGGAGACAGAGAATCCCAAGCAGGCTCCATGCTGTCAGTACAGAGCCGGACTTGGGGCTTGAACCCACCAACTGCAAGATTCCAACCTGAGCCAAAATCAAGAGTCAGTCGGCTTCTGACTCTTGATACTGCCTCAGGTCGTGATTTCACAGGTGAGATCAAGCCCTGGGAAGGTCTCTGCACTGACCATGCAGCCTGCCTGGGCTTCTCTCTCCCTCTCTCTCAGCCCCTCCCCAGTTCAAATGTGTGCATATGCGTGCGCATACTCTCTCTCAAATAAATAAACATTAAATTTTTTTTTAAAAAACGCACACAACTGTTCCAGAGGAAAAGTTCTGAACCCTGCTACAACCAAAAGACAGTGCTGACCAGCAGCAAAACTATTTTAGTTCATTTTCTCTATTAAAAGGTGCTTCCTATGCTTGGGTTTAATTTTGAATTTTAACACTATTAATTCTGTTGTGCCGTGGGTCAAAAACAATGAGTTCTACATGGGAATGAAAGTAAAGATCATCCAAAGCAGCAAGACACACACCATCAACCATTTTCTAAGAAAGAAGGAACACTGTATTATTACTTTTGGGGTCTTGACACTGGGCTGCAAAATCCACCTTCCTTTCCTCTGCCTCTCCTTCCCCTCAACTATCACTATCCCTGTCTTGTCTTTTCCTGTCTGGGCTCTTGCCTCCGCTTCCCCCGCCCCACAGCCCTCATCCTGTGTGTCCTGGTCCTGCTGAGGGCCACTGCAGGTGACTCTCATGAGAGACAAGAAAAAGAGGGGCACCTGGCTAGCTCATTTGGTGGACCATGCAACTCTTGATCTTGGGGTTGTGAGTTCAAGCCCTATGTTGGGTATAGAGATTACTTAAAAATAAAATCTTT